TTGTGGCAAATGAATTGATGTCCTGTAAACCCCCTTATTTACATGTCTATGTATTTTAGCGTTTTTGCTCCTCTATATATGCACAGGCTTCACTCACCTTCTAGAATTGACAGCAACACTGAATTCTAATCAATGGACATGGAGTATCTCTCCATTTGTCTAGGTCTTCTTTGGCTTATTAGTCTCCTCATTTTGTTCATACAGATTCTGCATGTATTTTGTTAGATTTATGCCTAATTATTTCTCTTTGGAGGTGCTAATGCTAATTTGCTTTTCATTCTAAATTCCAGTTGTTCATTGCTGGTATCCAGGAAAGCATGGATTTTGTATATTAACCTTACATCCTGCAAACTTGCTGTAATCATTTAAGAGTTCAAGGAACTTCCTTGTTAATGTTTGGGGTTTGGAAGACTTAGTAATCAGTTTTTCTAGTTTTCTAGAATCATAAGTTAGAGAATGATCTTTTAAGCTTACATCCCAAGTATCTGTGAGTGACATAAACGATGGGCTCTCTCCTGCCTGACCCACGGACTCAGTGTATTTGCATAGACTGAGCATCTGCTCTAACAGATCCTAAATCAGTTCACGAGCATCCCAGCGCCAACCCGCTCCCTGTACTTATTGGAGCTGGAGGTACTGGGGCAGTGCTGTTGAGCCTGCCACAGTTCAATCCAGAAGTCAGCTGGGACAGAAAGAATCACCCAGAACCCTGGAACAAGCTAGTCCAAAGACCTATGCAGTGATGACTGTGACTGCTCAGTGACTGTGGGTCACAGAAAACTGAAGAGAGATGGTCTGGGCTTCTATCTGTAGTGTGTCACTCTAAAGCTGCTTGCAGTGAAGGTCTTCCGGAAGTCCACACAATTTTCCATTTAAACAGGAAATATTTCCCCTCTAAATGCATGAAATCATGTTGGGGTTAATGTTTACACTGTTTAATAAACATCTGAGACTTGGAAAAAATGAGAAATAATGTGATGACTTGAATCTGCTCTAGGATACATTTTGAAAAGTGGAGGCAGGGGAGATGAAACATCGCCAAAGATGATGTGAGAGAAGCTCTTTTCTTGATCTTTTCATAAATTTGAAATTTCTTAAAATTAAAAGTTATGTTTCAAAAAATGGACACATTATTTGATGGTGTTTATCTTTGGAAAATTTTACTTTCTCCCTGATATTTTTCTTCTGTTTCCCTAGAAGGCACATAATGCATTTTAGAAGAAAACTGTTTAAACAGAGGAATAATTGGATGAGTGGCTATATCTCAACTTTTTATTCTTGTCCACTTAAGCTTTTATTTTTTATTATGTTTTAAAGATTTATTTATTTATGCACACAGAGCTGGGGTACAGGCCAGAGGCTCAGGGGCAGTGAGAGGATTCACCAGAGACAGAGTGGGGAGCAGAACAGGCAGATTGACGAAGTGCACTGCTGAGGGGAGCAGCGGGCGGGCCAGGAGAGGTCTGCCACGCCATGTGGGTCACTTCTGGGGCAGGGATTGAGCTCGTGCTGAAGTGGCTTTAGCTTCTTAGTGCTGTGCTTTAACCCGCTGCACCAGTAGGGAGAGCCCTAAGCTTTTATTTTTTAAGGATTATTTATTTATGCATACAAGAGTTGGGGTATAGGCCAGAGGTACGGGGTGTGAGAGGACCCACCAGAGACAGAGTGGGGAGCAGAACAGGCAGATTGAAATGCACTGTGGATAGCTTCCTAATGCTGAGATTTAACCTCTTGCGCCACCAGGGAGGCCCTCACTTAAGCTTTTAACCTGGCACTGGGAACATACTGGAACATAACTTCAACAAGGGCCAGGAGTAAAATGAGCCTGGGTGACACCGATCTCAGCACCTCAAATGCCTTTACTAATTGGATGATATTTTAGCAGTGTTTTCCAATTAAGAATTGTGGCAAATGAATTGATGTCCTGTAAACCCCCATAAAGTAGATGTTCTACTCATTTTATAGAAGCAGTTAACAAGCCCTTAGATGAATCCCAAAATCAGTATTGCAGAGCTTCTGCATTCGAGGGAATGTAGACATTTGATAACTTCACATTCTAGCTAATGTTAGATTCCATCTATTCAATTTCTGTTTCATTTATTTGACACTTTTCTAAGCACTGAGGATATAGAAGTTGAAAAAGGAGGGAAAAAACTGCTGCTTTACAGAGCAAGAAAGGTAATAAAAATATGTCTAATAGTGATAGGTATGATGGAGGGGAAAAAATAAAAGGAAGAAAGTCAATGACAGAAAGGTAGGGATAGGAGTCAATTTTTTTTTTTAAGATTTATTTTTACTCATTTATGCACCAAAGAACTGGGTTCAGAGGTGCAGGGGCGTGAGAGGATTCACAAGAGACAGAGCGGGGAGCAGAACAGGCAGGTTGACAGACTGACTGAAATACTGATATACTGCTGAGGGAAGCAACAGGCAAAACAGAAGAGGTCTGCCAAGCCATGTGGGTCAACTCCCTGGTTGGGGATTTAACTCAAGCCAAAGTGGCTGGCAATAGCTTGATTGAGCTAAAACTTTAACCCCCCCACCACCAGGGCCCAGGACTCACAATTTTAAATATAGCGGTCAGGGAAAGTCTCAGTGGTAAGGTGACATGTGACTTGAGGGAAGTGAGGGAATAAATCATGAAGATTTCTAAGAATTCTAGCATTGGAAATGGCAATGGCAAAAGCTGTGAGCTGGGACCACGCCAGTGTTCCAGGAACAGCAAAAGGGACATGAGACTGGCTCCAAGCAGAGGGGATTATGGGGCAGGAGGGGACTGTGGATGAGTCAGGCAGCTAAGAGAACCAGAAAGCAGGGGGTGTTACAGGTCACTGTAGGAGTTCTGTGTTTATTTTGAGATGGGAAGCTTGTGTTTTAACAGTATCATTGTAGCTATGTGTTGAGAAGGGACTTCCGGGAGGCAAGGCAGGAAGAAGGAAACCAGTTGGGAGCATCCTGCCATTATCAATGCACAGTAGCACTGGAAATGGAAAGAGCTAGATATTAGAAATACTTTGAAGATGGGATTGATTGACAGGGTTGGCTGATGATTAGATGTGGGGACTGAGAGCATATAGGTGATAACTAAAACCCTGAAACAAGATGAGGCTACCGAAGCAGTGACTTAGAGAAGAAAAGCACTGGTTTGAACTCCAAGGGAACTGAGAAACTAAGACAGTGGTGAAGTCCTGCACGTGGACAATGAAATCTCTAAGATTTCTAAAACAGTGGTTCTCGAGAATGTGACCGTCTGGTGGGAGCAGAAATCTTAGGCTCTGCCAGAAACAGCTTTTCCTACTTCTTGGGAGTCATAACCATAGGAAATGTGTTCTTGACTCTGAGTTAAACCCTACCACCTCGTACTCTCTGAACTGCTCCCTGCCCAGCCCTCTAGAAGGCCAACTGGACTTCAGACCTGAAAGCAATGAAGACAGCTCCAAGCATCTTCTTTTCTAGGAAGAGCATCACCAGGTCCTTCAGCCACTCTTCATTTAGCTTCGCTGAGGACTTTCACTATCTTTGTTGCTCTCTTTCAGATATACTTGATTTACTGATTTCCCTGGGATGACAAGTCAGTGGCAAGGTCTTCTGACTTCTCCTCTGGTGTTTAAATCACTATAGAAATGAATAAATACTTTATCTGCCAAGGTGGGTGTGGGCACAACACTGTTACTGAGCGACAGAAAAACATCCTACACAAACGTCATAGAGACGTTTCTCCTTCACAATCTGTAGCCCTCAGGGAGCCCTAAATTCACGGTGACTAAAAGTAACAACAGAGTTACTGAATGAGAAAGAACATTACTTGTGCTGGGCCCTCCCTGGTGGTGCAATGGGTTAAGGCTATTGTAACCACTGCAGCACCAGTTCGGTCCCCTCCCCCGAGCTGACCCACATGGCGCAGCAGACCTCTCCTGACCTGCCCGCTGCTCCCCTCCTCAGTGTGCGTCATCCATCTGCCTGTTCTGCTCCCCACTCTGTCTCTGGTGAATGTTCTCACTGCCCCTGTACCTCTGGCCTGTACCCCAGTTCTATATGTGTAAATAAATCAATCTCCAAAAAAAAAAAAAAGAACATTACTTGTGCTAATGTTCTAACAGACGGCAGAAAAGAGGTTATGAATTAGTGTACCTGTAGGCATACTTACAAGAATATCAGTATTTTCAAAATAATTCCTCCAGTATGGTCTGATTTTCCTTTGTCCACCAATGTCCCACACATTCAGTTTAAAACCTTGTGACTGTACACTTTTGATGTTAAAACCCTGAAATACACAAAAGTAAAACCACCAAATTTTACTAACTTTGAGAAGAGTTTCTAACAAAGTTACACTTAGCAGCTATGCTAGTTATTTTTTGGGAGATGCGATGACAGAGGTGACACTAGTTAAAACTGAAAATGCCGGGAGAAAGAGGGGCACTCATCCATACTTACCTCATTCAGATCATGCAGGCACTGTTAGTTATGTGATGGTACACCCACACGCAGACACGCAGACACACACGCACACACACCCAGGACAACTCGCTGTGAGAACAGCTCTGATTATCAGCACAGACCACACCCCTTGAGAGCTCCTCAGGACTGTAAAGTTGAGCAGGATATAGAGAAGCTGAAGCTGCAGGCTCAGAAGAACAGAACAAATGTGAAGTTTAAAATGAGGCAGGAGAAACAGATCTGGATTCTTTAAGAGCAGCTCAAAATGAAAGAATATCCTTAGGTAGATGAGTCAGGGTCAGGGAAAGGCAGGCGTGGCACACGGGGCGCCATGGAGAGGCTGGTTTTCTGAGTGTCGGCCCAGCCCGGGGGGTTGGGTTGGCCGGTCAGCCGGAAAGGCATGTTCCTACCCTGCCGTCAGTTACAGGTGGTCATGAACGCAAACGAATCGGCATTTGAAACTGTTCTTTCAGATGAACTTGAAGGGAAAGTATTACTTTTCAGGACAGTCACTCAAGGGGAGCTTGTGGAGGGTGAGCAAATCGGGGCGGGCAGAATTGAGGGCTTGGAGTGTGTGTGGAGAGAAACGAATTAACGAGGCCTTCGAGGGTTGAAGCGAAGGCACTTCATGAGGAAGGATCAAAAAAAAAGTCTTGGATCAAAAAAAAAGTCTTGCCAAAGTGATACAGTGAAATGAGGATTTGAAAAATCCAGTCAAAAATCCAGTCAACAGCTTGCTACCCCAGAAGTCACACTCATCCAGACGAACTGGCGGTAGCGGGCTGCCTCCACCGACGGCCGCCTCACCGGCTCTGGGCCAGCACCGCCGCCGTGCCAGGCGAGGCTCTGCACAGCGCCAGGGGCACGGCCCCTCGCCTCTGCTGAGGATAAATGGGCCCCTGAGGAGAGCTGGGGCGGGTGCCGCTGTGGCTCCTCGAAAACACCAATGCCTGAGTAAACCAGGAGTCCAGCACTCGAGAGGGAAAGGGCTGCCACTGACCGTGACAGCAGCTTCATTCCACTCAGCGAGAAAACGGCTCCTGTGTGTTTAAAAGTGCTACATTTAACTGTAATGGTCAGTGTCAAAGGCTGTATCAGCAAATCCATTCTGGAAGGAGCAGGGAACAAATATGAGTCAACCCTGCTAACTGACCATATCTGTCAACTTCCTTAAAATTCCATAAATTACCAGGCCCCTAAAATGCTAGAGAAATTAGTCTAAGGAAATAATAATTTAGAGATGCCTGTTTTATAAGTATTCACATGTATAACAGAGGTGTTCAAGATATATTAAGTGGAACAAAGATATAAAATAGTAGATTGTCTAAGCCATTTTTATTATCCTAAACATACCCATCAGATATATGCATAGAAAAACAGCCTGAATGGACATATTCCTAAATGTTAATCATGGTTATGTCTGACTGGCTATATAGGTGATTTTTAATTGACTTTTCGATTGATTTATTTAACTTTTTAAAATGACTATAATGATACAATCAAAATATAAAACAAAACACAATAAAGGTTTGTTTTTAAAGAACCTTGATAGTAGTTACCTACAACACATCAAAGTCAGAAAGTTAGAATTGGAACTTTGGGTTCATTTCCAAGTTTGCAGAATGGAAGTCCTTATCAATTAGTGCTGCTTAGTCAATAACTAAGACTAAAAAAACAAAACCAAACCCAAAAAGCTCTAACCCTTCTTCTCTGGCAGAAATCCTGACACACTAATACATGTTTTCAGCCCTCCTAGGCTAGCCTACTGTAATTTGCACCTTCTTAGGCTATAGCTTTGTTCAGAAGCTGTAAAATCACTCATTTTGGTTGCATTTGAAATATTCTGCAATGAGTTGTGAATCAGTTAAGGTTCATAGGGGTGAAATACACACACCAGCACTGTCTTTCAAAGTTGATACCAAGCTCTTATCATAGCACAGTGACAGAAAATGGTAAGTAACCCTGGTTTCACTAAAATCTCTAATGCTTACACACTTTAAGGTGGCTTAAGACCAACAGGGCAGTTCCTCATTAGGGAACCCGAAGGCTTGGACAAAGGAAAAGATGTCTCAGGATTTCCTAAAGGGAAGAAGATCTAAGGAAACCCATTAGAGGTCTTCCAATCAGGCCTTGTCTTCCAGCTTCCAAACTGAGCACTCTTACTGCCTCATGTCTTGTGTTCCGCTTGCTTAGCCCCAGGAAAGAGAAGGGTTGATAAGGTTAAGCTGAAAAACTAAAGAAATATGGAGATATATATATATGTATTTTACTATGCCAGAAAAATACACATTAAAATATTAAAATTTTCATTTTGTACTCTTTTAATTTTTTCTTCTCTATACTTTTTCTGTCTTTTCTGCTGCATTAATTTCATAATTGTAGAAGATAGCACTGTTTTTAAAAACTAACTACTGAGGCCTGAAGGAACTCTCTTTCTCTGTGTAGCTATTATTTATTTTAAAAAATTGTTGTAAAATACACATAGCATAAAATGTATCATTTTAATAATTTTTCAGCCTAAAGCTCAGTAGCAGGAAGGAGGAGATGCTATACAGTACTTAAAACTGAACTTCCCATTTTGTCTTTCCTACTGCTATCATTGGCTTTCTCAGCCACACTAGTACTGGCGGCCAAGGCAGTACTCACCTGTGTAGGCGTGATGTGGCTGATGTCTTCAGATGCAAGCTGCTTCAGGAGAGTGGTCTTGCCGGCATTATCCAAGCCCAGGAGAAGGATTCTCACCTCCTGGTCTGGCGCACTTTTCAATTTGCGTAAAATTGAGAGTAAGCCCTTGAACAACCATGAAGAAGAGAGATTACTTTTGGGGTTATTGATATTGTTGGGTATCAGAATGTTGTCTTCTCCTTGAAAAAAGTTCTTGGTGTAGAGAGCTTATGGTAAAACTTCCCAGTTTAACGTTGTTTATTCAGTTTGTTTCCTCCTAAGTTCTGGCAGAAATACTTGAGTAAATTCAGCAACTTAGTAAACTGAATAGCTTATTCCAGCTCCTTCTTTTATTCCAGTTTAGTAGTCACTAAGATATACCCAGATCCCTTAGATGCATGAACTAGTGCCCAACTTCTGTGTTTAAAGCCCTTTATCTATTCTCGGAGTAGACCACTCACTGGATGTTGTCAGTTGAATTTATATACCGCCTGTCTCCCTCAGTGGCTGGTACTTATGACACAGACACTAGATAACAGTTGTTGGATTAAACAGAATGCTCAGTATATACAAAACAAAAACAAAAACCCCCTTTAAAAAGCTTATCCAAATGTATCTGGGCTCTCTTTCCATCTATTTCAATACATGTTTAATACTTCATGATTGAGAATTTTCTACCATTATCCAACTTGCAAAATAGGTATATGGGGGCCTCCCTGGTGGTCTAGGGATTAAGTCACATTATCTCTGCTGTGGCCTGAGTTCAGTCCCCAACCAGGGACTACAATATGACACAGCAGACCTCTCTTATCTTGCCTGATACTCCCCTCAGCAGTGTATTTCAGTAGATCTGTCTGTTCTCAACCCCCTATTCTGTTTCTGGTGAATCCTCTCACTCCCTGCACCTCTGGCCTACACCCCAGTTCTTGCATGCATGAAAACGTAAAGCAAATCTTTAAAAAAAGAGGATAGATATATATTATTTCTGTTTTGGGGATGAAGGCTCTGATACAATTACGGATTTACAACAACAGAAAAGTTACGGATTGTAAAACTCACAAAAGAAGAAACATCTAACAGCCGCTCCTTTGCCCACCTGTGCCTATGCAGGTGCTTCTTTCCACCCTCTCTGTGCAGGGCAGCAGCCTCCTGCCTGCCCATGACCTGTACCATGCCAGGGCTTCTCTGCACTGACCTCCCTCAGTGGAGGCTGCCCTCCTAAGACTGCCTGCCTGCAACCATGCAGGTCTCTCGCTCTTACACACTTGTCCCTTTTGGGGCAACTCTTTGTGCTCACTTGCACCTATGCAAGTGTCTTTTCCTCTCCTGTTTCTGTCTAATAAACTTTCTCTTTAAATATAAAAAAGAAAAAATATCTAAATTGAACTATGGTACTTTGGACTGGTAATCTAATATTTGCGTCTCTTTTCATTTTTTAAATGGATAAAAATAAATCATGTTGTTTTTTAACTAAGAACACCAAAAAAATGTTATAAGATAGTTATTTGTTCTGTCCTGTAGCTGACCATCTTGTTTCTGTGAGGCATCTTGTTTCTGTGAGAAATCAAAGAATCCAGGATTTAAAAGGCATGTTATAATTTATTCTCTTGGTTCAAGCAGAAATTCCTTCAAGCTGAACCTTAGAATTATATAAAATGGCTATATATTTTATATCCACACTGTATCAGGCAATAGTTCAAACCAATGTGTTGGCTAAGATCAAATAATAATTTTGTAAAATAATCCTCAGCAATAGTGTCTTTGGGCAATGACACACAAATATGCCTAACTGCTGAAGAATTCCTTCAGTCACACAAACTCTAGCACTGTAGCTGCGCTGACCTGCTAAGGATCACACTAACTTTTTCTATGCCTTGGCTTTTTTGACAATATAACCAAAGGTTTAATTTAAGATAGGAAGATTAATCCTGTACTAAAAGATTTGGGGAAGGAGACTGAATAGATTTCAAGCAACAAATGAGAGGCAGGTCTTTTAGATACATATACAGTATGGTCTCTTTCTTTCCCTTCGTTGTTTTTTTTTTTTTAATTTTTTTAAAAAAGATTTATTTATTCATACAGAACTGGGATATAAGACAGAGGTGGAGGGGCTATGAGAGGCTTCACCAGAGAGAGAGTGGGGAGAAGAACAGGCAGATCGAAGAAGTACACTGCTGGGGGGAGCAGCGGGCATGTCAGGAGAGGTCTGCTGCACCATGTGGGTCACCACCCTGACTGGGGATGGAACTCGCACTGAAGCGGCTGTGGCTCGCTTGCAGTGCTGCATCCTAACCCATTGCACCACCAGGGAAGGCCCCCCTTCGTTGTTTTCTTATCTGGTCTTGAATATTTTGATGCCATTGCTTTTGAAAACAAAATGTTTTAAGTCTGTGGCTGCCATTACCTACATTGCAACCACTCATTTATAATACCAACTTTCAGAACAGTTAAAATTAGAATTCTAAAATCCTCAGGGGACTAGTGATATAAAAAGGCTAAGAACAGGGAAAACACACTGTACTACTCATCCTGAGTTCCTGATTAGATGTCCTCATTACCTCTCCCAATAAAATTCCAACAACTGGAATTTATCACATCAGTACATTAAATGACAGTACAAGTAAAGTTCCCATGCATTATTTACTAGTGTAGAAATCATGAAAGAAGATACATTTTCTATAAAATATTTTCAAGATTCAAAATGAATGTTTTAGGCTTTTCAAGTGCCTCTTTTAAAAAAATCAGTAAGAAATACTGCTTCCTGCAGGCTGACTTTACACACTAGTAATATTTGAAATTGAATAATTAAGAGGAAAATATAATTTATTTTCATCTTAAAAGGAGAGAAGTAAAGCACATATAAAGAAACCATTCTAACTTAAGATAAACTTCGTTAACATAATGGTACAAAAAAAAAAAACCTCTGTATTTACTTTTGTTGTTGTTGTTCATTGATCTTTTTCCTTTTCTTTATTTTTTACATCATTCTTCATTTTATGCATTTTTTCATCTTGGTTGTACTCCCCATGGACTTCCCACCACCAATTCACCCATGTGTGTTCACCATAGTCCTGTGTACTCTTCCCACCACCCCAGTTTTAACCTATTCCCCTCTCCATCCCATAAAATATCTCTGGTTTATGGTTGTTCACTGTTTTTCATTATTGCAATTGCTTGTCTCCCCGCGCCTGTCCCCCCCCCCCCACTGGTCTCTTATGCTTCTGCTATGAGTGAAACCATCCAGTATTTTTCTTTTTCTTTCCTGGCTTATTTCACTAAGCTTGAACCCTTCCAGCTCCATCCATGCTGCTGCAAAAGGCTGAGTTTATCTTTTTACTTCTGTATTTCTAATAAGCAGTTCTCCTTATTGGGAAACTTAATATGCTTTATAAGTTTATAGGCTTCACCTTTAAGTGAAATTACAGAGAAAGGAAAGTTCGGCTAATGTTTTCTTCAGCAAGATAATAAATGACATATCAAGTATTATCTAGGCAAGACAAATGCAAATATAATAAAGCATCATATTAACCCAACTGCTGAAGACAGGGGATCACAGGATTATCACGGTTTGCTAAATAGAGAACAGGATATTGATAGAGAAGAGGATTCTATCTGTAAGGTACAAAATAAGCTGACTGGACACATGAGAGTAGAATTAGTTTTATTCTATGCTTTCTATCCATATGTTGTACATCCATATTTTATTTTAATGTCAAATGAAGGAGGGAAATCATTAGCAGTTATTTGGGGACTGATTTAAATATAAGGAAATGCATTTTTAAAGTATGTTTCTAGTCAAAACAGCCATGTATCATTAAACACCCATAATGTGCCCCAAGAACACTCTATGTAGGATCTGTACTCCAGTGACATTTTAAAGAAAGGCCACTTTAGGTACAGTAGTGTCAGTTAATTGCATCTTGTGTATTACCAGCATGTATGTACACAAATTATCTGCACTCTGGTGGATAGAAGTGGATTTACTCAGTTATAAAACACTTTTCTTACAGGCAAATCATGAATAGGTACATTATTATCTAAAAACATTTTAATCTGCCTCAAAATCAGCTTAAATTCAACTGCTGGCAGAGGCACGGTGCACTGACCTGAAATGATACAAACTGGGTCATGTAAAGACAGTGAGGAGGGAGAGAGGAATGCGTGCTACATATATGGACATATGATAAGTGCATGTGGTTATGAGGAACAGCTAAAATTTTATGCATATAGAACTGGGGTAGAGGCCAGAGGCTCAGGCTCAGAGAGGACTCACCAGAGACAGAGTGGGGAGCAGAACAGGTAGATCAACAAAGTACACTGCTGAGGGGAGCAGCGGGCGAGTCAGGAGAGGTCTGCTGCGCCATGTGGGTCAGCTCCAGGGCAGGGATCGAACTCATGCCGAAGTGGCCTTAGCTTCTTAGTGCTGTGTTTTAACCTGCCGTGCCACCAGGGAGGGCCCTAAGTACTGAAATTATTAAGCTAACTGTTGAGTACACACACTTCCTAGAATGAGCTCAAATGGAACCGACTCTTGTTTTTATTTCCTTAAACAAAAAAATTGTGCTGCCCATTGAAACATTATTTCCAGGAACTCCTTCAACTTTGTTTTCATCACTCTACTAAATAAAGGAACGATGTATAGGCATCTCCTCAGATGGAGCGGCTTTCAATTTCCCCATAGACCTAATGAAAAGAACATTACAGACTTTAGAGTTTCGCAGACTTGAACTCAAACTTCCCTATAGGTGTTATTCCAGGTAGTTTCGTTGTTTTCTAGAGAACAATACTTCTATTTCAAGAAAGATGCTATGAAGATCAAATAAGGCAATGTATGTATAATGTGGCACATACAGGCACTCAAAAATAAACACTAGTTGTGTTTATTTTTTAACATTATCTGATCAGACCCTCCCTGGTGGTGCAATGGGTTAAAGTGTAGCACTATGAAGCCAACCACAGCCACTGCAGCTGGAGTTGCATGACTTTGACCCCCACCAGGGACTGACCCACATGGCACAGCAGACCTCTCCTGTCTCCCCTGGCTGCTCCCCTCAGCAGTATATTTCAGTGGATCAGCCTGTTCTGCTCCCCACTCTGTCTCTGGTGAATCCTCTCATTCCCCACACCTCTAGCCTGTACCCTAGTTCTTCTATGCATAAATAAATACATCTTAAACAATTTTTTTATCTCACCATTTTCTGACCAGAAAACATAAATACTATAGGGAACAACCGTTTATTGTTGGGCATGCTTGATATCTATCCCTAGGTCCATCTACATAGAAAGTATCCCCTAAGTCATTCCTGAATGAAGGTGTCATCTACTAAATAACAGTAATTAGTTATAAGCTAAAATGACTGTCATCTTGTATTTCTCCAAAGGCTTGGTATTGTAAGAAATCAATAAAACAGATGAGTTTCAATGTTCAGAGAAACCAATAACTGATTTTTACGGCAATATCCCAAATTAAAAAGTGATGTATTAGTTATAGCTGAACGTTTAAAAACAAAGAGCCTGGCACTCACTCCTCCCCAACACGGCTACTACAGGTGCTCATGGGAGAAGAGGCAAGGCCACTGCCCCACTGACCGTTTTAATTTCAGGTTCCATTTTCAGTTCCAAGAAGAGTTCACACTTTTGGAGAAAGAAAAAAATGTATTTGGGAAACCAGATAAAGAACCCAGAATATATTAAACTTCCTATTAATCTGTTTTAGGTAAAAAAAAGATTTTGCGTGAGCCTCAGTAAAACACTTGTGCGCAACAATACTGTATATACACTGTCGATCTGTAGTCAGCGTGAGCCTGGAAACATGAGCAGTGGTTAATTTTTATGATCTGTACTTATAAATGAAACAATCACGAAATTACACAGTTCACCTCATTGATCAACAAGCCAGGAAAAGTTAGCCAGCTCTCATGTGTTTCTCATCTAGGATGACATCTCATTCTCTGTTATGTTGGCATGTCTTTTTAATTTCATTTCTAGTTGTTTTCTGTGTAAATATTTATGCTTGTACTTATTTGCTGAGAAAAACTTAGCCTTTAAATGGACAGCTCATGTATAAACGATTAATAAAAAGAAAACATGTAAAAATCTGTTTAGCCTGAGGTTAATAAAACTGCAATGCAGCAAGTGTGAAATGTGATTGGCAACTTTAGATCAAATAATTTTACTTCTTTAACAATCTGATCATGTCAAATTAATTGAGATTTTTTCCTATCAAAACTTTCCCACTGGATAATCTGACCAAAGGGAGGCACGTAACTTTTTTCCCCCCGTGTGGACATTTACTTTTCTTACTTCATAAATCAACAGAAAAATACACATTTTTAAAAAACCTAAAGCGATTGAATGGGATGAAGTGGGGAAGAAGTGTAAGCGCCAATGCTCTTTGCCGTTGATAAGCCAAGCGACCTGCTCTAAACAATTCAAAATAACTTTGACTAGCTCTAAAACGAATCCATTCTGTTCTAACTACACAGAAACACACTAGTAACAGGATCAAGGGTGAAATCTGTCACACATTAAAATTTACAATTTGGGAAATCTTTAATTACGGCTTGCCTGAAACTAAAGACCGTCCAGTTTCAGTAGTCTATTCTTCTTAGTACGGGACCTAAACGGATATTGAGACCTTTGGTTTTGGTGTGGTCAAACGCAAAGGAAGGTGGCAACAGGCTCCTAAGGAAAAACTAAGGGTCGATCAGTAGATTTGCCTCTTATCATAGTGACTGCGTATTGAACAAAAAATCGGCCATCTCTAAGACCTTGCGGACCTTGCAGAACCCGCAAGAAACAAATAGTCTCGGGAGTAGAGAAGCGCGCCCGGCGACAGCATCCCTTCCGAGAGGCACCTCTTTGTGTCCTGGGATTCACAACCTTCCCCCAGGAGGCCCGTACACCTCAAGGAAGAAGAGCGCTAGGCACCAGATCTCCCTGGGCACCGCCAGCGAGAACTCAGAGGCAGCAGCACTAACCCTTCTCCCTACTTCTGGCCTGGTCCCCGTCAGACCCCACTTTCCCGCGGCGCCGAGAGGCCGATTCCCCGAGATACTCTAAGCCAGCGTGCAGAGGCTGCTCTCCGCAGCTCGTTGAATCTGCCCTCATCCCGGTCCCCAGGGAAGGATGCAGCCCCAGCTCTGGCAAGGGCCGATCAAACACCCTTTCAGCCCCTTCCACGGCATCCGACCCGCTGCAAGCCCCGCCTTCTTCCCAGGCCTAGGTCTCCCAGCCGGGTCCACCCGCGGGGCTCCCCCCACCCCCAAACCAATCCAGGACCCAGACAGCAGGCAAAGAGCCGTCCCATCCTTCCTTGGCTTTAAGCGCTGAGCCCCGCCCTGGGCCTGGGGACTGGAGAGGGGGTGACCGGCCGGCTGCAGAGGGGCCCGGGCCCCCACACTCACCATCCTCCCGCCGAGTCCCTCCTCCTCCTCCTCCACCTCCTCCTTCTCCTCCTCCTCCTCCTACTGCCGCCCCCCGTTACCAGGGGCAACAGCAGCGGCACCGCCCCCGACGTCCCTCGCACGCACAGCGGAGGCGCTAGGTAGCAATGTGGGGCGGGGTCCGGCCCCGCTTTAGCCTAAGTGCGCAAGCGCCCCACGGTGCCGGTCCACTGCGCAGGCGGCCTGCTAGAGTGCAGGCGGCCGCAGGGGCTCGTCGCCACCGGGTGCCGTGCGCGGGGGGGAGGGGGGGGGTGTGAGAGTGAAAGCTCGCCCACGTGGCCGGCGGGAGCTGCCTGACCAGTGATTGGTCGGGAGAGGGCGTGGGGGCGGGGCCTAGGCGGCCCCGGGCCGAGGCCGCGGAAGGGAGCCGGCGGGGCTTGCACCGCGGACTGCATCTGGTGGCCGGCGACTCAGTGCGTTCCTCCCAGGACCAGGTAAGGGATCTTGGAAGGAGGCCACCGCCACGTCTACCGCCACTCCCGACTGGAGTCCCCGGGGGGGACTTGGACTGCGCCCTGCCTGCCCGCATGGGCTGCACTTCTGCTGGGCTTTCAGTTGTCGAAGCCATATGGCTCAAAGAGTGGTCTGGCTCAGCGCAGGAAACTCTCCCTTCTAGGCCCCAGGCCTTCGGGTGCTAGGCCGAGGGGCAAGGGCGTCATGGGTTGTGCACCCGTCTCCACACCCTGAGTCGGGGGTGGAGGAGTCCCAGTAGTGGGCTGACTGCTTATCAGAGGGCAAAGCCCCCATGGGATTGATAGTCCCCGAGGTGAGCTGACAGTTGCAGTGAAAGGCGTTTTTGTTTTGTTTTTTGTTTTTTGAGCTAGTTGGAATTTGCTCAGGTTCACCTCCACTTCCCAGGAGGCCAAGATTGGCCTGCGCTAACAGTCAGCAGAGAGCGAGATGGATTCTGGGTGCTACCTTCCAACTAACTCTTCGCCATGCTGAAGACAAGGAAGAATTATCACATGTGTTCCAGGTCCTGTTCTAGACTCTGCAGACACAGCAGACAACAGAATCTGCCCTTATGGAAATTACATCCTTGCAATCCCTGATGCAAGTGAAATGCTTGGCATACAAGATGCCATTTAATTTCAGTCCTATATGTCCGTTAAGGGTCAGTTGGGACTTGAATTCATTTCTGTCCAACTATTCAGGGAGTGCTTTTATACACAGCCGTATTGTCCAGGTTAGAAGAACCGAGGGGTTTATATTTTTCATGTAAACTCGGAAAAAAATATATAAGCTATTAAAATTAAAATACATAATATACATTATGTATTTTAATTTTAATAGTTTATTTTTACGTCATTTTGTGCCTTTTTCCATCTCAGTTGTAATCCCCGTGGGCTTCCCATCACCAAATCACCCGTGTGCCATCATAAACTTGGAACTTTTTAAGAGCAAGTGATGCATCTGGAAGTTTGCAGATGACTTCATCTCTTACCTACCTCATTGAGTTCTTGTAAGGATTATATGAACTGTTACATGCCAAGTACACAGAACATTGCTTAGACCTAGCATGTGCAATTTAGGGCTTAACTGTCGCCAGTAGTTTCTCGTGCGTGGACTTTTGGGCTTTGGGATGAAGGGCTATGAGTGGTCCTTAGTTATTTATTTATTCAGCCAAAGTATTTTAAAACATCTGCATACTTGCTTGAAATCACTGTAGAAAAACTCTAGTTGGAGTCCTGAGGAAGGGAGGTTCAAGGTGAATTCAGAGACTGTACTCTGTAATTGACTTGCCTCTAACCTGTTCTTTTGTGGAAAAAAGGGCAGATTTCTCTGATATTTAACATCACAATGGCCTTGAAGTCACTAGAGCCACAGAGGCAGATGCCTGGGCTGCTTCTTTCAGTATTATTCTCATTCTCCAACTACACCAGAGACTTGCAGCGTGTAGCTCTCTGGCTGGGGATCCAACTCACGCCCCAGAGGCTGGTGCTAGCTTGGTGGTGCTGAAAGTTAACCCTTTGCGCCACCAGGGAGGCCCTGTCATCTCAGTAGTTTTTATCCCTGAATCTGGCTGCCTTGAGCTTCCTCTGATGCAAATACCAGTGGTGATGTTTTGTTCTGTTTTTCTCCCAATTTGGGCTGCAAACAGGGGGATCTTGGGTATTTCCCCTCTTTTGCCAGAGGATATCCCAGAAATTTGGAAGCCTGTTCTCTCTGATACTGTTTGCCAGAGAAAAGAATTTCTGTCTGGGGCGAGTGAGCTCCTTTAGTTGCTGTAGTAGGTTGTCTCCTTTTGTTCTTTTGTTCCTTGCTTCTGCCTGTCCTGGATGAGGCCCTACCTGGGTGCCCTTACGCCTGTGACCCTGATGTCTCAGGCCCTAACTACCATCAGATGTTTGGCTAGATGAGCATGACCAGATCTATTTGTTGTCCATATTTGTTTTTTGTTTTTTTTTTAGATTTATTTATTTATTCATATAGAAACTGGGGGGCATGCCAGAGGTGTACAGGGGGCATGGAGGATGGTGAGAGGATTCACCAAAGACAGAGAGGGGAGCAGAACAGGCAGATTGGTGAAGTACACTGCTGAGGGGAGCAGCGGGCGGGTCAGGAGAGGTCTGCCACGCCATGTGGTCACCTCCGGGGCAGGCGGGAATCGAACTCATGCGGGAGTGGCTTAAGCTTCTCAGTGCTATGCTTTTACCCGCTGCGCCACCAGGGAGGGCCCTTGTTGTCCATATTTGTATCTGCCATGTGTGCCATGGTGCTCTGTGAGGCAGGCTCAGTGAGGGTGGAGCCATGACACTCTAATTCTAGGAGAAAAGAGGGGTGTCCGTCAGCCATCTCACTCCTTGTTCCCAGTAGAGGAGCCATGTGTGTTCTGCAGCCAGACCTCCTTGCTTAAGAGAGTGACTTCAGGAAATTCCCATGTGGCAGGTGTGGGAAGAGGGAAGGTATAACTGTGGAAGATAATTTGGAGACCAGATAGAACTCAGGTTAGGTGGGGTGTTTGTAGCTTTGTGCAAGGAAGCCTGCTCTTATACTTCTGTCCCTAAGGCATGTTCTGAGATTGACTTGAAGGAGGGGATACTGAGAGGACCCAAGAAGTTGAAATGCTTTTCAGGCAGGCAGTAAGTATTTTTGAAAAGCATATAAAAGCTACAGCATGAAGCTTACAGTATGTCAGGGAAGCCTAGTTGACATGGATCACTGTAAGTCACAAAAAGGTGAGATATAAAAGCCAACAAGCAGAGGACAAAGGATGCCATAGGAGAGGAAGCAGAAGGGCCACAGGGGTCACAGGGCTGTGCCTCTTGGGGCGATGAGTGTGGGGGAAAATGTCCCAGACAGACAAGTCAGATTTTCTTTTAGTCCTTTATTTTGTGTAAGAGAGGGAGTAGGAAGTTCCTCTCTGACTTAGTAGTGAAAGCAAAGATCCTTGCATAATTAGCAAATGATTACCCCTTCTTGGTAGAAGTGCCTCCATTGGGAAAGGCAGAGGGCTTTCCAGTGTTGGATTGAGGTGACCTGGAAGGAGAATGTGTGGGTGTGCGCACGTGTACGTGTGTGTGGGGGCGCTCCTGGAGGTCTCTTTAAGCTGAGGTAGCATGTATCCTGCTGGCCAGACTCTGTTTGCTTCACATAGAAGCAGTACAAGTGACCTCTTTCCCCCTTGCCTCCTGGATTCAGCTGGTGCTGGGTAAAACACCTTTGGTCTTTGAACCAGCCTGGGGAACTTTCTCGTGCATCTGTGGTGGGTGGGAGCCAGAGTTCTGGCAGTGGACTCAGTTGTCTAGCTTCTGGCTTCTCCAAGGTTTCCAGTGGTGTTCCATGTGGGCCTCTCCTCTGCAGGCTCCTTCTGGCAGGGAGACAGCTAAGCCGCAGCTTTTCAGCTTGTTGAAGTCTCTCACTCTGCTAAGAGTTCCCAAGTTATGTCCCTACTGCCCTTGACCCCACTTACTGGCTACTGCCTGTCCTGCTTGTCTGGTTGTTCTTTTGCATTTTTTGGGGCTTCCTTTATTTAATTAATTTATTTATGCATACAAGAGCTGGGGTAGAGGCCAGAAGTGCAGGGGAAGAGGATTCACAGAGACAGAGTGGGGAGCAGAACAGGTGGCTCCATTGTAGTACACTTCTGAGGGGAGCAGCAGGCGAGACAGGGGAGGTCTGCTGCGCCATGTGGGTCAGCTCCCTGGCCGGGGATGGAACTGGTGCTCCAGTGGCTGTGGACAGCTTCATAGTGCTGGGACTCAATCCCTGTGCCAACACGGAGGCCCTGGCTTTCTTTATTTTTTACTCGCCTCTTAAATAATTGGTTTTCCAGGGTATGGCCTTAGCTCTCACTCTTCCTCTTCTGTGTACACGCACACACGCACATACACACACACTCAAATGATGAGTAATTATGCTGTGTTCACCTTTATGGGTGATTATTTCTACCTTAACGTGACCCCTCCCTTATGCATCCTTCAGGTACGTCTGTTCCCTCACCTCCCGTCTGTCTGGAAGCCGCGCTGACGGCCGTGCTCCCACATCTGCCCGCTCTCACCTCTTGTACTTGCTGTGCATATTATTTGTTATCTCCTGGGTGGGCTCCGGTTGCCCATTCTGACTCCCCAGGGACAGGTACTGAGTTTTCCTTTCCCCAGCCTCCCCCACTGCACGAGCAAGCACAGGGCTGGGCCACCAGGTTGCACGTGTTGGTGCCTGATGGCTCAGTCTGGTGGCCAGTCACCAGGACTGTCCCAAACAAGTCAGCTGATGCTCTTGATCTGCACCAGAGGATGGTGCCCAGGGCCTCCAGAGCAGGCTTTCGCAGTGGGGAAATCCTCATTTTTCCTTCTGTCTTTGAAGGCCCCACTTTTGTGTGTGAGGAAGATGGAGGCTGGCCTGTCCGGCTTTAACATCGATGCCCCCCGTTGGGACCAGGGCACTTTCCTTGGGCGGGTGAAGCACTTCTTCAATATCACGGACCCCCGCACTGTCCTGGTACCAGAGCAGGAGCTGGACTGGGCCAAGATTATGGTCGAGAAGAGCAGGTAAGTGATTGGGGCAGGGGGCTGAAACACTAACCAGTGTTGCTGGGAGCAGGTGGGAACCAACCTGGGGAGGAGAAGACTTCTCAGGAAGGAGGAGGCACACGGTGACTGGCTGGAGCACCAGGAGGTAATTCTACCTATTCTTGGGGGCAGGATGGGAGTTGTGCCCCCAGGCACCCAAGTGGAGCAGCTGCTGTATGCTAAAAAGCTGTATGACTCGGCCTTCCACCCTGACACGGGGGAGAAGATGAACGTCATCGGGCGCATGTCCTTCCAGGTCCCAGGCGGCATGATCATCACGGGCTTCATGCTCCAGTTCTACAGGTGGGCTGGGGAGCGCGGGCTGGCGTGTGGCTCCACGAGGCAGGAAGCCATGGGGGACTCACAAGACCCATCTTTAGGGCCCCCTTTCAGAGGCCAGGCTCAGCGCTTGATTGTTTATATGTGTTGTCTTGTTTAATCCTGGAGGTTATGTGACTTATCTCGGTTCACACAGCCAGGAGATGCTGGCACTGAGGGCCATCTTCTCCAGAACTCTCATTAAATAAACTCTCCCAACCCTCTCTTCATAAAGCACCCACTCAACAGTGAATGCATTTTCATATTGAGTGTCCAAGTAAAAAAGGAAAAATAAGAGGACTCTTTCTCAGGGCCTGGGAGGAGAGAATAAACTTGTGTAGCTATGGCTAGATGACTCCTCCCTCTCCCTTCCTAATCCCCCCCCCACACACACACACCCCGGGTACCTCTCCCCCTCCTACATTGAGCCAGGTCTTGGGCCAGGTACAGGGTAAATAAAGACTTCCGTTGCTCCCTCCCGTCAAGGAATGCCCAGTGTTTCTGAAGAGAACAAGAAATAAACAGTTACTGTCCAATTTCTAAGTGGTAGGCTGGGGGAGACTGGGCTTATGGGAGCAGGAGCGTGACATTCCTGTGTTTCAGGAATGGCAGAGAAAGGGTCAGGAATGTTCCCAGGAGGAGGCAGTCTCTCAGCAGAGCAGGATTTTGCCTGATACAGTGGAGGGGCAGGTACTCCAGGCAGAAGGAGTCCAGCTACATCACAGAGTATGGGAGCAGCAGGTGACATGGCTGGGTGGCCACAAACCCTCCCTTCCATCTTGCTTTCTGGGCCCCCTTCACTGGCAGGACCATGCGGGCGGTGGTCTTCTGGCAGTGGGTGAACCAGTCCTTCAATGCCTTGGTCAACTACACCAACAGGAATGCTGCTTCCCCCACATCGGAGAGGTAGGTGAGCTCAACTCCGGAATGTGCGTGGGTCTAGAGCAGAAGGCTGCGCCCTGGCGTCCCGGGGCTGCCCTTCAGACGGTTCTCTTCAGTCTGTTTGTCCTTCCTTCGTGCACTGGGCAGGTGGTCACGCCTCCCTTTGCTGGGCTTGGCAGTATTTGTTAGGCTGAGTTGGAGAGTATCTTCTTTCTAGATCAACTCCCAATGTGTCCTTTGATTAAGTCAACAAATATTTCTTGAGTGTGTATTATGTGTCAGGCCTGGCTCTAGCTGCTGGGGATCCATTCGGCTGAGGCAGGTGTGGTCTCTAATCTTGTGGAATGTAAGGTCCTCTAAGAAAACAAGCACAATAATCTAAGGAAATCAATAGGGTGAGAAGCCAGAGACGTGGTCTGTGGAGATGGACTGGTCAGGGAATCCTGTTTGTAGAGCTGAACAGTACATTCGCATTCTGAAGGGTAAGGATTTCACTGGGAAAGAGTTGTCTGGTTATGGGGCTGCAGGATGCAAAAGATCTAAGACAGGAGAGAGCTTGGCATGTTTAATTTAGTTAAAGATAGCATCACGAGGGGCAGGGGTCGCAGGATGAGGCTGAGGACAGAGCTCATTCAAACCATGATCTTGCCTTCAGCCACCAGGGCTTCCCACTCCCAAGCATCTCTCTCCTTCACCAGGCAGATGGCCCTTTCCTACATCACAGCCACAACCACTGCTGTGGCCACTGCTGTGGGGATGAACATGCTGACAAAGGTAAGATTTGGGGCTGCTGTACACACTATGGCCACTGGGGGGCAGCAGAGTCCTATGGAAAACTCCCTTCCCGTGTGTTCCCTGCCTGGGTGAGTTGGGTCTGCAGACCCCACAAGAAGTGGGAACTGCATTTCAGCAGGGCTACCCCGGCCGGCCGGTCTTTCCTCAGGCCTTTGAGGGAGCTGGGCCTTTCCAGACTGGATGTCTAGATTTGTAGCAATAGCAAGGCCGGTTGTCTTGTTTTGTATCTGTGACCCCCTTCCCCTCCCACCATCAACGAGCCAGAACTTGCCCTTTGTTCCCTCCCCTGGCAGAGAGCTCCGCCCCTGGTGGGCCGCTGGGTGCCATTTGCTGCTGTGGCAGCAGCTAATTGTGTCAACATACCCATGATGCGACAGCAGTGAGTACAAGATCCCATTTCCTCCTTACAGATCATGAGGTTAGGAGGGGAGGGGCAAGAAGCCGAGGCAGCGAGTGGCTTCTTGGGGCTGAGCTGGGCACTTTTGAAAGTTCCCTGGGAATGGGCAGCTTCAACAGGGAAAGCTCCTGGGAGTGGCAGTGACTAAGATGTAATCATGGTTACATGATGAGTGCTTGGGAGTCATTTTTGGATGCTGTGGGATGAGGCAGAGAGGAGGACCTTGGGGCTTTGTATTACATCTTGAGCTTTCAACTGCAGCTCTTTAAGGGGTGAACATAGCCCTTTCCTAAAGCCCTGATGAGGGTTCACAGAGGGAAATGTAGCAAAGTGAGATTTCCAAAGACAGAACAGCATCTTTGAAAGAAGCCAGAGGACTAGGTAAAGGTTTTGCAGGGACCCAGCTCTAAGCTCAGCAGGAATGAAGCTGACACCACACGCCTAGCAGTCCTTGTTCTTAACTAGAGAAAGTGTAACTGTTCTTCTGTTGTGAAATTTAATAATGTGATATACACAGAGCACTTAAAACAGGCCTGGGGGCCCTCCCTAGTGGCTTAACAGGTTAAAGCACAGCACTGCAAGCTAGCCACAGCCGCTTCAGGGAGTTTGATCCCTGGCCCCTAGCCCTAGCGGTGACCCACATGGCGAGGCAGACCTCTCCTGACTCCTCCCCCAGCCTCCACTGCTCCCCTCAGCAGTGTACTTTATCAACCTGCCTGTTCTACTCCCTGCTCTGTCTCTGGTGAATCCTCTCTCCGCCCCTCCACCGTGGCCTGCACCCCAGTTCTGTATGCATAAATGCATAAAAAAAAAACAAACAAACCGTGCCTGGAACGTGTAGCACATGCTATGTAAGTGTGAGCTGTTAGCCAGCCATTGCTGTCATCCCTTTCGTCATCATCTCCAGCCTCTACAAGTTACAATTTCTTGGGACTGTGGTGTGAGTGGCAATTGATCACGGTGGCCCTGCAGAAGGAACCCACGCCCAGGGCAGTCATGCACATACACTGCTCTTTCCCTCGTTCCTTGTTCCCATCCACTTGCTCCTTCCCAACAAATGAATGCGTTCCAGCCACTACCTGGTCCGGGGTTGAATGCTGTCAAAAACTGACATGAGCATTCTAGCCGGAGCAGCTTGTCAGTGCCCGGCACTGGCTGAGCTCCCTGCAGGCATTCCTCTGTGGTGTCCTCGCCAGGTTCTAGGACGTGGGTGCCGTGATGATCCCTGTTTTGCAGATGAGAGTAGCTGGGTCTAGCAGGTGTTGAGAGCAAATCTTTACCCTCAGCCTCAGGATTTGACCCAGCTCTTTCAACTGCTCCCTCGAACTGCCCTCTACCACTTTGGAGCGTCCACTCTGGGGTGCAGAGGGAAGGTCAAAGGGCAGCTTGGAGGAGGTGGGCGCCCTGCTTTTGGCCCCTGGTGTGCCACATCATCATGGCAGGCTTCTGGCACTTCTTCCTAAGTGCCCCCTCACCTGTCTATATTTAGGGAGCTCATCCAGGGCATCTGCGTGAAGGACAAGAATCATAATGAGATCGGCCACTCTCGGGTGAGCAGAGCGTCCCTCGGGGTGGGAGGGGGAGTTCTCCTGCACACCCTGTCCTGCCCTTACTGGTCCAAGCCCCAACCCCACCTCACCCCAGTGTCCCAACATTTCTTTGCCCAGACTATACCTCTCCTGGTCTTTAGCCATCAGTTCTGGTCTAAGTGGGCAAGGGTCAGAGAGGTCACTCAGCTCCTGGCAGTTTACCTGGCAGGGACACTGGCCCCCCACAACCCCCTGGTGCAGCTCCTGTGTGCTGGATAAGGTCATTTCTGACAGTTGACTCTTTTCTGTCCTCAGAGAGCAGCTGTTGTCGGCATCACCCAAGTGGTTATTTCTCGGATCGCCATGGCAGCCCCTGGCATGAGTAAGATGGGGAAACCCTTCCATCCTGGGGCACCCTGGAATATACATGATGGCGATCTTAGTCACACTTGGGTGGGAGGTGGGGCCCCAGCCTCTGCTGCCATGTTTGCTGAGCGCTGAAAGCCTTGGAGAATCAGCCCCAGTTCCTGGAACATTCATTAATAAGAGGTTTGGGGAGGGAGTGGACAGGGCTTTGCATTGGACAAACCCTCATCCCTGCTTCAATTGCTGGGCCCAGCGTGGGTGCTGGGGAGACAGTAGGAACCGTAGCCTGTCCTGGTTCTGCCTCCAGTGGGGCAGGTTACAGCACGGGGTCTAGAACTTACTTGCATGAGTGTCAGAAAATGTTGTGTTTGGTCGGGGGAGGTGCTCTGGGCCTGTAGCGCGTGTCTCCTCTGATTATAGATTTCAGGTTCCGAAGTTTGAGAAAGGCCCTTTGGCCAGGACTCGGGGGCCACAGAGCAGGCGGTCATGCCAGCATCATCCTCCATTCTTCTTCCCAATGAAAAGCACTTTCTGGAGCTTTTGGGGCAGGAGGAAGAATCACTCAGTCCCTGGCCTGACTTTGGCAAGGGGTCTTGGGGAGAGCCGGCCAGCCCTGTCCACTCAGCTCCTCCCTGGTCTCTTCTAGTCTTGCTGCCTGTCGTTATGGAACAGCTGGAGAAACTGCGTTTCATGAAGGTGCGTGGGGCTCTCTTCATCTTCCCAGAGACCTCCCATCAGAATGCGCCCCAGATTCCTCTGGCTGCCTTCCTTCACCCCTCTTCAGGAGGGCCCGTAACAGACCCCGCAGGCTGCCTGCTTCCCACACCAGAGCCCATTTCTTGGCCCTGTGTGCAGAGGGCAAGGGAAGCCCCCCTGCCTCCAACATTCAGGGCAAGGTCATCAGTTCCCCCATGTGCACTCTGGCTGGCTGGCTGCAGGGAGGTCGTGGGATTTGTGCAAGGTATCGAAACCCCGTGTGTGTGTCTCTGTTTTGTTTGTTCTTGCGCAGAAAGTCAAGGTGCTGCATGGCCCATTGCAGGTTGTGCTGTGTGGATGCTTGTGAGTATTGGGTCTTCTTGGTTTGGGGTCTGTGGTGGCCGCAGCTCTAAAGTATCTTCTCTTGTCACCCATGTCAGTCATGTCGTCACCCATGTAGTCCTTTCCCTGGCCTATAAGTGCCCGAGCGTCTCAGGCCACCAGGGTTCCCCTGCAGAGCTCTGTCCTCATGTGTTAGGGGGACGCCAGGCTTTGTGGCTTTATGCACACGTCTGCGTGGGAAGCAGTGTGCTTGGGGGCCCTCCTCTCCCAGGATGGCTCCCCTGACATGGTCTGGGGCAGTTTTATTTAATTTTATTTCACTTTTGCAGCAGTTTTAGAGTAGAGCTAAAAGGGGTGAGATAGTCCCACCCCCAGAAAGTTATCATCCCCAGAAGAGAGGGTCATGTGTGGCGAAGGTAGAAGTAGCGTCCCTGACACTCAGGCGGCAAACACCTGTGAAGCCTGGTCGGGACCTCGGCCGGTCAGAGGGAACTTGCTCAAGATTGCACAGCTAGTAAGTGGCAAAGCTGGCAGAGGAACTCCAGCCCCCTGCATTCCCAGGCCTATCAGACAGACCCTGGACTGTCGTCATCAGAGAACTTGTTAGAAATATAAAGACTTGCAAGCCTTCTCCCAGACCTACTGAAATCAGCTTTGCCTTTTAAACTGTCCCACATGATACTGTGCTAGGTGTCCAGTGCACAGTGGCAGAACCTTGGGGTGTCCCCCCACTGGCTCACCCTAGCCTCAGCAGGTGCTTGTGGCCTTTAGGGCTGCTGCTGCTCACACTCCATCAGGCTCATCTGTATTTCCATCAGGCTCATCTGCTGGAACAGCAGAGTGTCTGTGGGGTGAGGGATGCGAGTGCAGAGGGTGACTTTATTCTGGACCAGATTGGGTGTCCCAGCACCAGGAGACCAAGAGGAGACTGAAGGGAGGGCTCCTAGGAGTCAGCTGGAAGGCAGGCCTGGTGAATGGGGATCACCCTTTTCCTTTGGGGTCCTCGGGGAGGGTGTGGGTGGGCCTGGGGGGAGATGCCCCCTAACTTCTGGTTTCTCCTTTCTTCCAGCCTCATCTTCATGGTGCCAGTGGCATGTGGGCTTTTTCCACAGACATGGTATTGGCTGTTCATTCCTCACTCTGTTTAATGGACACTCTGTCCCTGTCCTCCCTGACCAGCCTGCTGTCCACGGAGACTGAGAGGGCTGGGAGGGCACATGTGTCCGAGGACAAGACCCGCCAGTCTGAACTCTGGGCGGCTCATAGCTGTGGGTGGATAGTAACCTAAGCTCTCCAAGAAGCAGAGAGATGAGCTTCCCCCGCCCTGTGGGAAAAGGGCTGCCTTGGAGAGCAGGTGGGCAACAACCAGACTTTCTGTCCCTGTTGCTTGGGAATTTAGCTATGTCTGCCCTGGCTGGGTCTGGTCTTTGAAACAAGAGGATAGGTACTTATTTTGGCTCATGTTTGCCAGGGGGTGGATGGAGGCCCCTCCATTTCGCCTGGATGTCCCAGAAGGAGAGCAGGGGGTGAGAAGGGATGATGGGAAGGGAAGGGAAGGGTTAGACTAGGACAAGGGAGGACTGGGATACCAGGCAGCTTCAGTTTATACAGAGCAGGCTCGTAGTCTCCCTTCGGGCTCTTTGTTTGGTTTTGGTAGTCATCTGCTAGACGTCTCCAAGCACCATGCTTGTAGTCGTGTCGGGAAGATGGATGTCCAGCACCAGGGAGGTAAAGTCTGGCCTAGTGGAGGTAAAGGCAACACACTGTAGTGTACAAAGGCCACTCGTAATTCTGATGGAAAAATCAGGAAGGGTTTCTTGGAGGTGGCAATTGGTTGACTTTCTCTGAGGGTCATTTGCTGCCTGTCCAGGTGCATGCCTGTCACCTCCTTTTTCTCTTTTCAGCAAATTGCCAGTTTCCTCACTGGAACCAGAGCTCCAAAGCACCATTAAGGCCAAGTATGGAGAACCCGTGCCTTATGTCTACTTCAACAAGGGGCTCTAAGGGCTCCAGCCTGGCAAACACTGACCATACTCACCAGCTCCTCTTTAGCCAGGTGTCTACCTGTGCCCTTATTCCTCTGCCTATAGGACCTGAAACCCAGGGTGGATTTGGATGGGTGGGATGCCACTGGATTGTTGGACTCCAGGGAATGAAAGTGAACAAGGGGGAAAGGCCAAGTCTTCAGTCTGCTCCCGCTCAACCCTTTCCTCCCTCTGGGATAGGTTGTTGGCATGTGGGATAAATAAGAAAATTGTTTGGGAAATGAGGAAACCTTTTGAGGTTCTTGTTCCAGTCTAAGTGGGGAGAAGCCTCTGGTATAAAAAGAACCTCCTCTTTCTTCTCCCCCTTCTCCTCATCTTTTCTCAAGCTGTGGAATCTTCTGGCTGATCAACCGTAGCTAACCTAGGAAGAGAGGAATGTGTGTGTCACCCTGGGGCTCACGGCACCCCTCCCTATTCTGCCTGCTGCCCCCCAGCAGGAACGTCACTTTGGGAGTGCTGCTAACCTTGACTTTATCAGGCACCCAGGAGTTCCTAGTGCTAAGGAAGGTCGCTGTGTCAGGCAGTAATTCTCTGGGACTTTCAGCCCTCTCTGTTAACTCTGTTAACACTTTCTCTCCCTGCCCTAAGTCATGTCTGATTTTATTTCTCTGTGCTTAAAAGGGGAAAAAAAAATCACTGACTGTGACGAAAAAGGATGTGTGTAGATATTAGCTACACATTTTCACGGAGGTAATTTCCTAGCCACCCCCTTTCTCAGCCCCTCGGGTTAAACACCAAAGACAGACTGGCATGTACCAAATAGGAGAGGAAGTTTTTTTTGGATACCTCTAAGAAGAAATCAATCAGGACCAAGTCTTAAAGGACACACAGCAAATCACAGCTACCTGGCTGTGCCAGGCAGTGGCTTCTGGGCCCATGTCTGGATGAGCTTTTGTTTAGTAGAGCTTACCGATGATTCAGAGGAGATCACTGTGAATTGAATAAATTTTTTGAGCACAATGAACTGTCTACAATGAGTTAATAAAGGCTGAAAGCAGGATCTGGTCTTGACCTTGGCATGGAGGAGGGTATCTCGGTAAAGGGGAAACTGATGCTGGGAGACAATTGGTCATTTCCCTTAATATAGAGAAAAAGGCCACTTGTCTTTGCTGGAAAGCTCTAGAGATCTCCCTGAGTGGGATTGTGACTGTTCCTGAGCAGGAATTTGCAAACACTGGGCCTGGTATCCAAATTTGCCTTACTTGTTTTATAGTGCCTGGGAAGTAAGAATGGTGTTTATTTATAAAGGATTGTAAAAATAAAAAGTATGTGACAGTCTGTTTATGTGGCATACCAAGCCTAAAATATTTACTGTCTGGCCCTTTATACAATGCCTCCCTTGGTTTGGAGCAGTGATTTGCACTTGCATCAGAATCACTTAGAGGGATTGTCAAAACCCAAATTGAAGGGCCGTATCCCCAGCATTTCTAATGATGTAGGTCTTAAGTGGAGCTCGAGAATTTGTATTTCTGGGTCATTTCCTGGTGATAACCGGGAATGGGTCTGCAGACACACCTAAAGGGCCACTGGTCTGAGAGAGGGTCTCCTTCATATTGACTGCAATTTTATTAAAAAACTACAATTTGTAATAAAGTCATCTTCTGAGAGTGTACAGTTCACTGGTTGGTAGTAGTTATGGAGTTGTGCAGCTAATTCCAGAGCATTTCTGTTACCCTCCCAAAGGAAACTACCTGCTAGCCACTCCTGATTCCCCTTATTCTCTAGCCTCACATTCCTAATCTACTTTCAGTCTCTATTGTGCCTGTTTTGGATGTTGCAGATCAGTGGAATCACATAGTGTGTAGCCTTCTGAGACTGACTTCTATAACTCAGCATCCTGTTTTCAAAGTTGACACTGCAGCATGTGCAATTTGATTTTAGCTGAATGCGGGAATGTGGGAAACTGTCTTAAATACTAGTATCAGCTTTGCTTACTTCCAAATGGAAATGGCAAATAGGAAGAAATTTACTAGAGTTAGCCAAAGCTGGAAGCAATTTTCACTGATAATCTTTCAAAAATTGACAATGTTCCCCTTTCCCTCCCAGTGTTGCTCTTTCCTTCCCTGACCGGTCATCAAACTTGAGTTACAGTGGCTAGATAGCTGGATAGTGCTGAGACAGCCCTTTGAGCCACCAGGGAGACGGACATTCTTAAGCTGAGGCAAAACTGATTTCTTCACTCATCTGTTTCCCACTCTGCCACCATTTAAACCAATAATAGATTCCTTTGGGGCTCGGTATGGGTTAGACTGTCTAGACTGTGAAATGCTTTGGAAGGTTTTTAAGAGGAAATTGGTAGTCAGCTGGCTTTTTTGCCACTGGCCTTCATTTATTTTACCAACATTGATTGAACTCGGGATTGGGCTCCATACAGGATGTTGTAGTGATTTCTTTAAGAATTGAAGGCCTCCCTGGTGGTGCAGGCGTTTAAGTCTCAGTGCTATCAAGCTATCACCAGCCACTGCAGCATGAGCTTGATCCTCAGCCAGGGAGCTGACCCACATGGCGCAGCAGACCTCTCCTGTCTCACTGCCCTCACCCCCAGCAGTGTGTTTCAGTCAGTCTGCCTGTTCTGCTCCCCACTCTGTCTCTGGAGAATCCTCTCAAACCCCTTCCCACCCTCACCCTCCACATCCGACCCACATCCCAGCTCTAATATGTATAAATAAATTAAAAAAAAAAAGCCAAACATGAATTGAAATAGTGGGGGTGGGTTGCAGAGCTATTTCTGAGGTAAAACCAATAGAATTTTGACCTTGGAATTTGAAGTGACAAAGCATATATACTCCAGGTAAAGGAACTGTGTCACAGGGAATTCAAATTCCCTTGGCTGCTTGCCTGAGAAGTTTGAAACTCAAGGACCCTGGTGCTGGGGCTGTGCTTCAAAACAGAAGACATCAGATGAGTTTTGGATTTCATTTTTTTCTTCGTTATAAATGTTTTTAATAATTTCTTTTTCCAAATCCCTTTAGAATCACCACATCCCTTCTTTGCTAGGTGTAGAGATTTGTACTTCCGCCACACTCAAGATGACCGCATTGAGACGCCTTTTTAATACGCGCTTCGGGTGGCCCCGCCCCCGATTGGAGCTACTTCCGCCACTCTTACCGAGTGGGTCGCGTTCACACTACCGTGCAGCACTCAAGATGGTCCGGCTTCCTCCTACTTTTCATTGGCTGGATCACGTCTCATGGGAAGGCGGAACTTAGACTTGATCGACAGCTTTTTTGGTCATTGGAAGAAGAGCATGGGCCAATGAAGCGCGGGAACTGAAGAACCTGCTCAGTGTCTGGGCGGGTGCTTAGCCTGGGGCGGGGTGGAGCCGAGCCGGAAGCGGGCGGGGAGAGTGAAACAGGAAAAGAAGGGAAGAAGGAAGAAGAGGGAAGAGGAGGAGAGGGAGGAGGAGGGAGGTGGCGGCGCCTTGGCGGAGGAGCAGGAGCAGGAGGGGGATGGAGAGGAGAAGGCTCCTGGGTGGCATGGCGCTCCTGCTCCTCCAGGCGCTGCCCAGGCCCCTGTCAGCCAGGGCTGAACCCCCGCAGGTAAGGGGAAGGGGGTCCGGGCCAGGCTGGGGGCCCGGTGGTCGTGAGGCCTGGCAGGAGGGGCTGTAGACCGTGTTGCTGCCTGCCTGAGGGGGGCTGTAGGAGTGTTGTTGCCGAAAGTTGAGGGGTCCTGAGAGGGGCACCCATACCTGTGTGGACAGGTTCTGAGGGCCGTTGGTGTTTAGCTGAGGGACACCTGTGACGATTTTGGTGTCAGGGAGGTGGTAGAGGCATGGAGCCGTGTGAGTGAGAGACCTTTGAGGCGGCAGATAGGTCGGGCGGTCTGGGACGCCCGGCCTGGGGAGTGGGGCCCAGCTGGGGCTTGCGGGGTGCATTCGTGGCCCCTGGTGGAGCAGCTTTCCCAAGCATTGGGGCTGTGCTGGTCGAGGTATGTGGTTGACTGGACTGGGCTGAGAGAGATTTATTTCAGGCTGGGCGGGGGCGGGGAAGTTCTGAGGTGTCTTGGCTCCGGGTTTTAACGGTGTTGGAGGCAGGGCTCTCGGCCAACAGGTGTGATGAAGTAGACCCGGAGATCTGGAGAACGGCACTGGCTTCGGGCGGGCCGCCCGCCTAGGAGAAACAGTCATTGAGGCTGATCTAGGGCCCCTCGGGGGTTGTGAGCCAAGGGTGGTGTTGATGCCCATATGGGCAGCGAGAGGAGCACCCCGGCTTTTCATGCTGGGTGGCTTGCTTTTTATCCAGACAGAGAGAAGATGGCTTGCGCTGATTCCAGCTTGGGCTGGCATTTCGAAACCCTAATGGGAGCACGTTATTCCTGGTGCCAAGTTGGGTGGGGTGCAATAGGGGAAATCACCCCTCCTTCCCTTGCATTTGGCAGGGCTTTATCCTTCTATTTTCTTCACTTTCCATTCCCTTCCCTGTCTTTTTAGAAAGGCATGCACAGGCACACAACAAAGCGTGGCATGATGGCAGTCTGTGTAGTTTTGCACTTGAACTTAGTGTTGTGATCAGAAGCACAGTGTCACCATTGTTTTAACTTTTTCCCTAGGAGTTTGAGCTGAATATTCACATACTCAACTTGTTTTGTCTGTTTCTTCTATTTTAAAAATTACTGTTTAAAATGAGGTGAAATGCATGTAACATAAAATTAACCATTTTAATGTGAACAAGCCAGTGGCCTGCAGTACATCCACAACGTTGTGCAACCACCACAGTGTCTGGTTCCAAAACATTTTCATAACCCCTAAAAGAAATCAGGTACCCATTAAGCAGTTACTCTGTTCCTGCCCATCTCCCCCCAGCCCCTGGCGACTCCTCCATTCGTTTTCTGTCTTTATGGAGATCCCTACTGATAATGTTTCATATAAATGATAAGGTCCTGCAGTATGTGACGTTTTAGTGTCTGGCTTTTCCTCAGCATAATAGTTTCAAGATTAGTATGTTAGCATGTATCAGCACTTCATTCCTTTTTATAGTTCACAAATATTCCATTGTCTGACTATACTATAATCTGTTTATTCCCTTAGCTGTATCCTCTATCCACCCCTCCTAGCATATGTTTTTGCACATTAGAAATAACACGTGAAAGGAATTGAGGTTTATTTCTAACCCAGTATGTTCCCTTGGCTAGGACTGGGATCCTTCAGTTGGGTTCTTTAAAAACTTCCTCTGTTCTTTAGAAAAAGTTATAGCCCTCAGCACTGGTTAAGTTAAGAAGTATCCATGATGACAGAATAAAATACAGAACCAACTATTGCTTTTCCTTTGCACCTGTCTATTCCCGCAAGGATCTGTAAAAGGCTCTCCCTAGTAAAAAAATAAATGACATTGTTCCAGGGTTGACCAGGAAATACCGGAGCCTTTGCAGGTGGACACACTTTCTGAGGCAGGAGCTGTGGTGCCCTGGGCCTGTGGACTGCTTCACCTGGATGGAGAGCAATGGCGGGTTTCAAAATAATGGTGGGAACCAGATCTCCTTCATGAGGAGGAACAGGATGGGAAGTGGAGGTTCCCATTAGGTCATGGGAGCCTGGGAGGTAGCAAGATGTGGGAGGGTAACCTTCAATATCATGACCTAATTGCAGCTTGTCAGTCACAGGCTGTTTATCATTTCTCTGGCACTTCCACTACTTATTTTGGGGACAATGTGGCTTTTGTACTTTGTTCTGTTTGGATGGATACTAGCACTGACCAGCTTCTCTTCATGCAGTTACAGTTCCTGTAGGGAAGGGAAAATTTTTAAATGAGTGTCTCCATCTTCCTCACTGTGACCCCCCATATTCCTCCCACATTACCCACCTCCCCCTCATACCACCTCATACTCCACCTGTAAAAATTAATAAAGAAATAAATTCAGAGACCATTTTGTCATAGAACAAACTTCAGGTACTTACTGCCCTTGTTTCAACAAGTGATTACCAGCTGACACTGAATTGAGGGCGTTTTGTACTCATTCTCCCCTGAAAATGGTATTGGCACCTCACTGCGTTTTTTCCCCCTTCAAGTGACTCTATCAAATACAATATTTTTTAATATAAGCACTTAACATAATAAACATTTGGTATGAGGCAGCTTCTTTCCTGGTTACCAGCTCTGCACTGGGACAGTATTTCCTGGCCCAGGAAAGTTCATCAGCCAAGCTCCCACCTGTGATTGGTACTTGAACTCTTCTATAGGCCACTGCTAACTCAGATGAGACTCCTGAATCCATAAAGAATAAATAGTAGAGTCTCCAAATGATAAGTCTGTTCTGGCATTTGTCTCTTCCAGTTAAGTGATGATTGAGGTAGTTTCTTTCCATCGTTGTTAAATTCAACCAGAAAAGTCTGACTGTGATTTAAAGCAAAGTTTTACTGGAAGTGTCTTTTCCCACGAAGTGATCCAACCAATGTCTGAACACAGATGTTTTAGAGTCACAGTCCTTCCCTTTTCTTTGCCATGCTTAAAACTCTGAGTTGGATGGGAGTCCTAGATCCTGCTGTTTTTCTCCCACCACATTCAATAGTATATCCCTTGCTGCTCGCCCGACCCCCATCTGCTCTTAGTTTGCAACCCTAGTTGGGTCATATGGTAACTTTACCAGTAACCTCTTGAGGAACTGCTTGACTGTTTCCAAAGTGGTATGATGATAATTTTAATTAAGTTAAATAGCTACATGTGCCAATTGACTACTATGAAGGAAGTCAATTCTAACAGCTTTCCAGAGTTGGGGTAGCCTTGGGGCAGACACCTGAGTTTCAAATCTGACTTCTGCTTACTGGCCCGGAATAAGTTCCTTAACATTTTTGTACCTTAGTTTCTCCCATCTGTAAGATGGGAATAATTATGATCATACCTTTGAAGTTTGTCAGGAGGTAAAAAACAATTTATGTGAGGCTCTTGGGCTGTATTTAATGATTACTATTGGCAGTCTTTAGAGTACATTATGGATGATGAATTAGTGCCAACTCCCATACGAAATTAAGAATTGAGATTTGGGCAGTTTGAAGTGAGTTTCTTGATTCTGTTTTTATCTGAGTTTATTTTTGTCATTGTGAAATTCTGCTGTATAGGTAACTTTTCATGATGAGCCTGTATGTGCAGAATAGTGATTCTAAATTGGGAGCCATTTTCCCCTTTCCATAGGACATTTGTCAGTGACTAGAAATATCTTGACTTGTTACTAGAAATATCTTGACTTGTTACAACTTAGGGGTGCTACTTGTATCTAGTGGGTAAAGGCTAGAGGTGCTGCAGACACCCTGCAGTGCTTAGGATAGTTTCCATACAGAGTTGCTTGGTCCAAATGTCAGTAGTGTCCAGGTGAAAGACCTTGGTGTAGTGATGCCTGTTGGCCCCTTGTCGGCTCTGGCTTGTCATCTTCAGGTTGAGGTCAGCTTCCTATGAAGGGAGAACACAGCAATGTGTAGTGTGTGAATTGACATCTGATAGCAAGTTTTAGGTGGGCTAGGTGAAAGCTTTATTTTCCTGAATCTTGATTACTCTTGCATTTGTTGACGTATGTTTCCAATTGACTCTGCCTTGTCAGCCAACATCAAGCATTTTGGAAACAAAACAAAACAAAGCCATATTTTAGTCTGTGGTTCAGTAAACAGGTGAGCCACCCTTATTCACCCCATCTTGAACTTTCTTTCCTCTTGGTTTGGTTTGCCCTTGTGGTTTCATTTTAAGAACATGTTTGTTTTCGCCCTAGTGAAAGCCTGATGGCCAATTACTTTCTTTTCTCAGTGTCCTCTGTGGTCCTATAACCACTCAGAACTGAGTCATGTTCTTAGAGCTTTTTCCTTTTCCCATTCCAAGTCTGCTCTGCTCTCATTTTTCACGAATGTTATTTTGTTCATACTTATCCTGTACCATTAGTTCTCAGGTTTGCCATGAGGGAAGCTGACAGTCCTGGACTTCAAGCTCTCTCTGCGTTCATGACACTGTCAGCTACTGTTTATGCTTGTGGGTATCTTATATGGCTTTGGATTCAAAATTCCAACTGCCATTTGAATGCTTGACCATCTGTCTTAAGTTGTTAGGACTAATGATTAAGGGACCCACAGGATCCAGGTGGTACAGTGAGATGGATTTCATTCCTTACCCTACAACCCCAGTTGAGGTCCATTGATCCTGAAATAACTGCAGCCATTCACTGGCTGGGAGCAGTGACTGCAGATATTGGTGACTAGTCTACTTGGTGACATACCATCTACAGGCTGAGGTTGTGCTCTGGGCACCTCTCTTTGGGACCATTCCTGGGAGCTCCACTAGGTGGAGCAAAGTCTGGCCAAAACCTGCCTGCAAAGTGGAAACCACAAAGAAATAAAAATAAATGCAGAACTTTTCCTTACCTATTACATTCTGTGCCATGTTGATACAATCCTGGGCTTTCCCAGTGGGAATTAAAGTAGATCATCCTCCCCAATTTGTAGATGACCAGTTTCCCATGAACTGGGGTTTTGGGGTATCTTACTCAACTACATTCTCATGGCTTTTATTTATTTTTGGTTTTCTTCTTTGCATATTTTGTGGAAAAACAGATGAGCTCTGTGTGT